TTCTAGTAAATCTGAGAAGAAATAGGTAATTCCCATATTGTATCAACCCTTGTGTGAGTATGAAAAGTTGGGAGCATCTAAACTCTTTCTAGGAGGCTATCATAACCCTGATACCAAACCGGAATAAGATAGCACAGTAAAAGCACTCTGTGGGCCAATCTTTCTGATGGACATAAACAAAGATACTAAATCACATCCACAAGAGTCTTAAAAGAGTACTTCATCATGCTCAAGTATGGCTTTCCCCAAGAATGTGATGATAAATTAATATTACTAGAGTTATTAATGTAATTCTCTTCATTACTGGTTAAAGCTGAGTTCAGACTTCCGTGAGAGAGAAATAATCTTCCATCTTCTCTAAGCCACTGAGTCATTGCTGGTCTCTGTTAAAGGTGTCCCGGGATACCTCCATGTTCACCAAGAAGGGAAAAGGGCCAATAAACCTGTGGAATACTGAGCGGTAGTTTCAAAAAGAACCTCCCAGGCATGCCGAGTTCAAAGAAGAAAGCCGGCTACAGGATAAACATAGAGGGGACACCGCTTATATAACAAAAATCCTCCCTATTCTATAGGTACATATACGCATGCATGTGAGGTGCAGGAAAGGTCAGCGGACCCCTGTCAAACTGCCCAGAGGGGACTCTCGGAAACGGAGGGGGCTGGGAGGGGGCCAGAGACTGGTGAAAGGGGACTTTGATTGTACCCATATTTGCTTAATATCGCTCCATGAAGTTACGGTCATGTTTTACTTGTGTAATTAAAAATAAGTGTGACAGAACATAACACAGAAAATGGGGGTAAGAAAACAGAAATGCAAGTTTTGCCATCTCTGTACAGGGAAGGCAGATAAACATTTTTTTCCCCAAACATTTTAGCAAACTTTCATAGGCTTGAGGTTAAAAGCAATAGATTGTACGGGTTGGTGGGAGGCCTGGCGGGGCCCAGGCCCCTGGCCGGGTGGCCAGGAAGGTGGAGAGTCCGAGACAGTCTGGTGGGCTGAGGGGCTGGAAGGAGGTTGCAGGAGCCTCGAGCCAGGTCCTCAAGTCTGGCTGGGGCCTCTTTGTGACCCTGCAGGACAGCCAGCCACCGCGTTGCTGGCAGTAGGGCCTCCTGGCTGGACATGGCAGGTGGGTGGTAGATGCCTGGAGAAGTGGGGGTGGGGGCTGGGGATCCTGCCCCTCGAGAAGCAACACCAGCACCTTCTTGGTGGGCGGGGTGCGGGTGGGTGCGGGCAGATGGAGAAGGCGCCCTGCGAGTGGGTGAGGGGTCACCCTGCCCCCCACCCCCAGCGCCCACCACCCCACCTGGACGTGCTGCAGAATCCTGCTGGTACACCAGTCCCCCAGCTCCGCGTATCTGGCCGCCAGCTCCGCGTCCGCCTCCCCGAGCTGCTCCACCAGGCACAGCAGCATCATGGGCACTGCCATGGGCTCGGCGCCAGGGGCCCCCGAGAGCCGCGGCTGGCCCAGCCCCGACGGGTCCTCCCGCACCCAGCGGACGAGCTGCTCCATCATCTCCACCGCTTCGCTCTGGGGGCGGGGCGGGCCAGGGTGGCCGGGCTGAGGCGGCACCTGTCCCCTCCTGGCCTGTCCCCTCCCGTCTGGGGCCTCCCGGGGGCCCAGGGAGGGAGAGGCCCCCCAGCTGAAGTGGGGGCAGGGGGTATGCAGGGGGATTCAGAGGGGAAGGGGGTACAGTGCAGTCAGGGGGCCGTGGGGTGGAGGGGGGCGGGCGGAGGAAGAACGACAGGCCTGGCCCACAGATGGGGTCAGGGAAGCTTGAGCGGGAATGTGTCGGGGGTCATGGGGTGGGGCTGGGGGCAGAGGAAGGTCTGATGAACTCTGGAAACCAGTCTGCAGGATGGGGAGGGCTGGCTGGTCCACGGGGAAGGGCAGAGGGCAGGGGTAGGAAGGGAACTGGGGGACAACACCCGGGAGTGATGGAGTCGAGTCAGGTCACAGCCCAAGGCTGTGTACGCACCCCACTCCCACCTTCTTAAGCTTTGGAATGATTAAGGGACCTTTTAGTAAAGAGTTCCTTGTATAGCGCCGTGTGACCAACTGGGCTGCTCTGGGCCTGGGCGCTCAGGCTGCCACCTCCCCGAGGGGCAGAGCTGCGGCTCCGGGGCCGGGAGGGGCTTCGGGTGCAGAAAGACCACTCAGGCCGCTGCTGGGCAAGACCGGGGCCAGGGCACAAGCAGAGTCGGGAGGCCAGGGAGGCTGGGGGTGAGGGTGGCCGCAACGGAGACACAACCAGGGGCGACAGCTATGGCGGATGTAAGAGCCACGGAATCTGGCAAAGCTCATTTGCTAATAGTTTGCATATTTTGTTTATGAGGTTTTCAACCTGAGGTGCAAAACACAGCCACAAAAGTGGACAACTCCTCGGAGTACATCTTGGGGAACGTTCACGTAGGTCCCCCCTTGCAGTGACATTTAGGCTACGTGTCTGGTCCTTGATGGCAGGGGCCATGTTATTTGTTTTGCGTTACTTGGGCCTGCACACAGCAGGTGCTCGATAAATGCTTGTTAAATGAAAGACAGAAAGGCAGCAAGGCATGAGGGAGCACAGGGTTTTGCCAGGCTTTTGACTATTTGTAAAACCTTTTAATTCAAACAGTATTTGTAAAACCTTTTAATTCAAACAGCAGTATGTGTTCAATGGGGAAAAATTCAAACAGCTCATCACTAACTCACACTCAGGAATGCATAAACCCCAAAGTAGCCCCTCCCTGTGCTCCCCACAGTGACCCCCGTTAACAGCGGCCAGGGCACGCTTGCCAGCGTGTTTTCCCTCAACCACCAAGGTGATGGTTTAAATCACCTGGGCTGCCTCGTGTTCATGTAAATGGTCAAGTTCAAGGTGAGAACAGGGTCCCTGGGCCGAGGGCTTCACACGATCTTTCCACCAAGGGGAAGTGCCAGCAGGCTTGGTGCCCACCCTCATTTCATCAGATGCTTTTTTGTGTTTTACAGGGGAGGAGGGTGTCTTAGTCATCTAGTGCTGCTCTAACAGAAATACCACAAGTGGATGGCTTTCACAAACAGAAGTTTATTCTCTCACAGTTTAGGAGGCTAGAAGTCTGAACTCAGAGCATCAGCTCTGGGGGAAGTCTTTCTCTCTGTTGGTTCTGGAGAAAGGTCCTTGTCTCTTCAGCTTCTGCTTCCTGGTTCCTTGAAGATCTCCACGTGGCTTGGCACCTATCTTACCCCATCACTGCCCTGCTCGCTTGTTTAATCTCTTTTATATCTCAAAAGAGATGCACTCAAAATACACCCTACACTACTCCTGCCTCATTAACATAACAAAGACAACCCATTCCCCAATGGGATTATAACCACAGGCATAAAACAAAAAAACCCCTTGCCACTGAGTTGATTCCGATTCACGGCGACCCTACAGGACAGAACAGAACTGCCCCATAGGGTTTCCAAGGAGCGGCTGGTGGATTGGAACTGCCAAACCTTTTGATTAGCAGCCATAGCGCTTAACCACGGCACCGCCAGGGCTCCACCACAGGCACAGAAGTTAGGATTTACGACACGTATTTTTGGGACACAATTCCACCCATAACGGGGATGGTACAGGGCTCAGGAAGGCAGGGGTGCGAGTGAGGAAGGCAGAAAGGAACATCGTCAGGACCCCGGAGAAAAGTCCTAGGTGGCTCCCAATTTTAAGCACAGGCCTGGAGCCCGGCACCAGCGAGTTGCAAGCTCAAACGCTTTAAGGGAAGAGGTGGGACTCTCAGCATCATGAAACCAGGCGAGCAAATAAATGGCTTGTTCTGAGCAACTGGTCTGCAAGCAGATGCCTGGGCACGGGGCGCCAGCACACTGTCAGCAGGGGGCACTTGGGTCTGGAGAAGAGCTGAGTGCGCAATGAGGGTGGGACTCTGAAGGAAGGAGGAGCCTGGGGGGCTCCCCCTGGAGACTCACATTCCAGCTCCCAAGCCCACCTGTTGGTGCCCCGCCCTCTTTGGCAGCTGACTCCTTGGCTGAGCTCTGTCTTGAGGGGCCAGCCACCAGTCGCCATGAGGACTGACCCTCACCCCATCCTAGTCCTGCTCTTCTGCTCCCACCTGGAGTTCAGATAAGGCAAGCAGCACTCGCCGACAAGGCGCCTTGCTGTGCAGGGCCCTGCAGAGCTGCAGGCAGGACCCGAGTGGTGGACAGCAGTCCCGGCCGGGCAAGGTGGGCCCTGGAGCCTGGGGTGGGGGCTGTAAGAGTGGCAGCCACGCAGCGGAGGGCAGACCTGCGGAACGAAGCGAGAAAAAGAAGCCACAAGAAGCAGGCTGTTTCACAGATATTTATTAAACTCTACCTGATGCAAGGCACTGCGCTAGATGTGGAAGGGGAGTGGCCACCAAGGACCACCCTGTCTTCTAAGAGCTCACAATCTAGTGGGTGGGGGAGGGGAGAAGCCAAGCCCACAAACAGCTCTGGTGTGAGGCTGAGCACAGTGAGTGCCACAAAACAAGCTGGGGAAGGGACCAGAAAAGGGAGCCAACAAACGAAATACAAACTGGGCGGGACAGAGCTGATGCTCCAGGGAATACGCAAGCCACGTCGAGACCCCAAACCGCGGCGAGAGAGATTACTAGTAATAGAAGTTATCAACCACCCCACCGGATGGAGCTGCTGGGAATACAGGCCACTGGGTGGGCTGTGCCCTGACTCACTATGCATTCAAATACAGGAATGATAGCCACACAGTTAACCTGTGGCTCAACTCACTGAGACGAGAAGGTCATCCCAGTGAACAGAACACACCATCACATTTAAATAGGTGTTCACCAGTCAGGTGGACTGGGGCCAGGAGGAGCACCAGCCACGCAGCTCTGCTCCAGAAGCAGCAAACTGGCTCTTGACAGACTGCAATAAGCAGAGACCCGCTGATGCTGGCTCGAGTCACGGGGGGCGACGGTAAGGACACACGGGGACCCCGGAGGACAAAGACTGTAATGGCCAGGCTGCCCTCGTGGTGCTAGAATTGAGGCTGCTCTGGGGAGCTGAGCAGGAGTCCACGGATCTTCAACTGGTGCTGCCCTGCGAGGTGGCTCCCTCTTTCCCTCCACACCAACTGGAACATTCTTTCTCAGTGTCCTTGTTCACACTTCACGAAATTTGCAAGGCCACCCCCTCGCTTCCAGCCAGGTCTGACGACTGGCCGCTGCCCTTGGGTCGGGGACTCAACTCTGGTTTAATTAACGTGGCCTGGAGCGGGTGGGGAGGGGGTGCTACACAACGTGGCCTGGAGGGAGCGGGGGGGTCACGCGGTACCCAACATGGCTGCAGGGTCGGGCAGGGCAGGCGCTATGCTGCCTCGAGTACAAATTCAAGCAAACGGAATGCAATACCACGGGAGAAAGACGCCCACTGTGGTCGGGTGGGGATTATTCCAGAAATGCAAGAACAGGTATAACATAACTAATCAACACTGTTAATCTTAATAAGCAGCAAAAAATGGTAAACAATTACTTTCTTTTTAGAACTTCAGCAAGTATTCAAAACTCTAATAAAAGCAACGGAGGGTTTCTTTCCAAATACGATGAAGACAAGGACCGCTTTCTGCCAGGAGCCAGCATCCTCCGTAAGCTAAGCCTCTTCGCTGCCCTGGCCAGAGAAGCACGTGTGATTAGGAGGAAAGAAGAAATGAGGTAGATACACAAATGCATAGGCAAGCACACACAAAAGGAAGCTGTGTCACGTGTTACATCGCCGTACACCTGGAGAAGCCGAGGAAATCCATCCCTCCAACTACCAGAGGCAAAAAATGAATTCTGCAAAACTAGACTGAAAGTCACAGGCTGACCGCGTTTGGGCCGCTCCACCAACGGTGATGGCAAAGATGCGCGCTTTAGCGCTAACTCTGAGAGAGCATTAGAGGAAATTAGAGCCCAAGTGGAGAAAAGTGAGGGAGGGCAGGAAGGAGGCTGAGACTCTCCACCCGGGCTGGGAAGCGTGCGGAACAAAGTGAAGACGATGCTCCGGTCCAAGTTAATACTGCACCTAGACTTCAACAGGATCCTTCGTCAAACTGACGGACGAACAGTGGAGGGCAAGGAGGGCAGAGCACTTCTTGCTCAGGGTGCCAGACTTGCCCCCCGGTGGACAGCGACGTTCCTCACCGTGACAGTTGTACAAAACACGCAACAATAGCTTGAAGAGAAAAAACGCATCGAAGACAGGAGTGATTTCAGAGAGAGATTCGAAATGACTGTAAGAACCGGGCCCCAGGGCAAAAGGAATCCTGTGTAACAAGCGCCGTAGGCTTCTCTCCAGCACTGTCGTGGCCTGGCGGCCATTCGAGAGGACCTTGCTTCCCAGGGTGCAGGCCGGTTGGGAAGTTCCGCCTCAGCCTTTGTGGGCCCGTGGGAAGGCCCGGTTCCTCTACCAGGCCCACTAGTGGTCCTCCTGGGCCCAGGTGCTGGAAGTCATACCAGCCTCTTCTTGTGAGCTGTGCCTGCCACTGGAAGGGCGAGCTTCCTTGCCCAGCCCTTGTAGCTCTTCCCCCAGGATGAGGCCCCTGGCAGTGGCAGCTGTGACTCCTGGGCCACGAAGGCCTCCAGAAGGGTGTGACCTCCCTCCAAACCCTTGCTTTACCGCCCTCCTGGGCACGGCTGCTGGAAGCGACACCCAAACCGACCTCTTGCTCGTCAGTCAGGTGCGTCTCCTTGTGTCCGCAGGTCTCCTGGCTGGTCCCTGGTTGGATCGGTCACTGAATCTATGCCAGGGACTGCCAATGTTCCCGGTAGCTGGCGGGACAGCCAGGCTGCTGCCAAGTCCAAGCTTTGACCACCCCGCTGCCCTACGTCAGGTCAGGCCCTGGTGATGGCTGCCAGGGCTAGACTGATGAGCAGCCAGAGAACCTTCTGGCCAGTCCGTGGGGAAAGTATCTCCAGTGCCCGAGTGATCAGGCTGGACAGTCAAATACTGCCCACAACGTACACACGGTCTAAGCGTCGGATGAGAAACAAGCCTGCTTCTCTGGCCCATGCCCCCCGAGCCCACCCCACTGCGCAGCCTGCCTCTCAACTTGGCTGCTTCCCCTTCGGGGGGTGGGGCAGGGCTTGCAACTTTGAGTTTGTCATTACATATCTAAGTACTGCAGCGATGAAGCCATGAAGGTTATGACTTAACCAACAAAGATGAATGCTCAAATACATTGAAAGTAAAAGCTCACACAACAAAAATGTAATCAAACTGTGACAAAGGGCAGAGCAATAAAAGTGGAAAACAAGAACCACTGTAAGTGATATAGAAAGAACTCCTCTATAAAGTCAATATATGCAAAGGTAACTTGGTAATTAGTCAAAGGAGATGAACAAGACAACGGAAAAGGTACTTCAGTCCTTACGGGAGAGGTCGGGCTGAGAAGGAAACGAGACGAGGCGTCAGGTTCTGGAGCTAACGGCAGCGGGTGACCTGAACTGAGCGCCACCTCCCTGTTAGGTGCTCGTACGAGACCAGCGCTCTGTGGGACCAGCCACCGGCCGTCCTCGTGATCACTTTTGGGGGAGGTACTGTGACGACTCCATGTGAGAGAGGAGGAAACGGAGGGCAGAGAAAGTACCATCAAAGGCCAGTGGTCTGACGAGAGGCTCCCCTGACCCTCCTGACACTCGAGTCTTGAGAAGCCCTCTCTCAACGACTTTATTTTGTACCAAAAAGTGCTGCAAGAGCCCCATTAGCCCAGAACAACCCTGATCAAAAGCTGGTTTGGGATACGTACAGGGGTCACCAGATTGAACTGGCTTAATAAAAAAAGATGCAAAAGAAATTAGGAATATGACCTCACAGTGACAAGCCTTTTAAAGGTCCCATTAAAACAGCAACACCTTCAGCGTTTATGTTGTAGAGCTACAGGAGAGGTGAAGAAACAACACAAGCCACCAACGGTCCCAATGCCACGCGCACATGTACCGACCGCTTGAGAGAAAATTCCAGAGCGCACCAGGCAGGGTGGCGGCTGCCTCCATCTGAGCCGTCGGCCAGTCAGTCAGTCAGATGGAGGTGACCTTGATGTACTTTGCCCAGGTGAACATGGTGGGGCCAAAGATGCACAGGAGGCGTTAGCGGTGAAATTATGTCACAAAACGGAGAATGCGCAAAAGGGGCACACTTCTAAATCAATCTCTTATTCTGTATCATATGTGACTTACCATATGCATGTCTAACTAAGTTAATAAATTAAATAGTATAAGACATTTGACTTTTGTATTTACATCCCTCAAAACTTATAAATTCAAGTAGGCCAAGAAAAGGCGGGGCGATCTTCTCTTTGGGAAACAAAGGGGCTCACAATCGACTGGGGTCGCCTTCGGCTCGGACCCTGACTTTCATTGCTCAAGGTCACCTACCAGCCCGGCCAGCCTCGCTGACTCGGAACCCCTGCTCTCAAACTCCCCCAGATCTGCGGCCGATGGTTTCTGATCTCTGCACGGAGCAGATGGCCTCCGACCCCGCCACAACCCGCGGCCGCCTCGGATGGGAGGCGTGCACATTTCAATACCTGGAAGGCCCTTTATGCCAGTGGAACTAGCCAAAATAACTTAAAACGCTCAAAGCTACTCTTGCTGGGCGTCACGGGAAACACGGACACTTAGAAATTGCTGGTGGCGGTAGAAACTGGTTTCAACCTTTCTGACAAGAAAATATATAAGCGCTACAAAACCGTTCATCTCCTTCGACTTGGCCGCTGGAGCCCCACCTCGGCGGCCAATCTACTCGTGGTGAGTGGGCTGGTGCTTCTGCAGGGCCGAGCGTCGCCTGAACACGCGGCCGCACTCGCCGCACTCGCCGCGCCGCGCCCCGCTGTGGATCCTGCGGTGGCGGCTCAGGCCGGAGCTCCTCCGGAAGGCCTTGCCGCACCGGTCACACTCGTACGGCTTCAGTCCGCTGTGGATCCGCCGGTGCTTGATGAGGTCGGAGGGCCCCCGGAAGGCCTTGCCGCAGTCGCCGCAGGCGTACGGCCGCTCCCCGGTGTGGATGCGCTGGTGCTCCAGGAGGCTGGAGCTCTGGCGGAAGGCCTTGCCGCACTGGCCGCACTCGTAGGGCTTCTCGCCCGTGTGGATGCGCCGGTGCTTGGTGAGCTCGGAGCTGCGGCGGAAGAGCTTGCCGCAGTGTGGGCACCCATAGGGCTTGGCCCCGCTGTGGATGCGCTGGTGCTCGGCCAGGCCGCTGACCCCACGGAAGGACTTGCCGCAGTCGTCGCAATCGAAGGGCAGGTGGCCTGTGTGCGCGCGCTGGTGCTTGAGGAGCTCCTGGCGGTCCAGGAAATCCCTGCTGCACGCCCTGCAGGCGAACGGCTTCTCCGCAGCGTGAAGCTTCTCGTGCCGGGAGAGGTGGGTGTTCACCTTGAAGGAGCGCCCACATTCCTCACAATCGAACGGCTTCTCTCGGCTGTGCACCCTGAGGTGCTGACTGAGGCCCGCGTTCTTCTTAAACCGCTTCCCACATTCCTCGCACTGGAAGGGCTTCGCCTCCTTCTCCATTTGCTCCCTCTTCTGCACCGCGTCTTCAAGGACCCGGCTAGGGCCCGGCCGCGGCTCCACAGCCACGTGGCTTTTCCTGTGCTCCTTGAACTCGGAGATGCCCCTGAAGACCTTCCCACACTCACGGCACTCCCAGCCCGTCTCCTCACTGTGGATTCTCTGGTGCTGGACGAGGAGGACTTTCAGCCGAAAGGTGTCCCCACACTCTTTACACACAAAATGATGCTCTATAGGCAGATTCTGGGGGCTCCCTAACCTCCCCTCAGTGTCCCCATTGTGTCTGACCTCGGGACTGGGGTTACTGGCCCTGGGGGAGCTGATGGACGCCATCTTGTGGGGCTGGGCGTCCTCACCCATCGTCTCGCGTTGAGTCACCAAGACGCTTTCTGAAATGAGAAAGGCAAGACATGCTGGTGTACAAAGAGGGAGAAAGCAGCTTCCTTGCTTCTCCTTTGCCACGAGTCACTTTCCTCCTGAGACTACAGCTGAGCAGGGGCCCGGGGCTGGCAGCCACCGGGGCAGGATGGCTGATGCCCATCTAGCCAGGAGCAGGGGATTACAGAGGGAAGAGGCAGAAGGGCCTGACTGCTGGACACTCCCTAAAAAGTGGTCCTGAGAAGGCCCCTTCTTCTGTGATTGAAGAACAGCCCCCAGCTCTCAGCTGAAGCCCCTAACTGCTCAGCTGGGCCTCCCCCGATCTCTTCACATTTCTTTTGGTTTTTTCCCCACTCACCGGAATGCTTAGCTTGACCCGCGATGAGAGATGGGTCTGAGACCAACAGTACTTGTCCTTGCACCTGGTGAGGGACTAAGGCAGGATTGAAACCAGGAACTCCTGCTCGTGGAGGACAAAGAAACAGGTTATGGAGGCAGCCAGAGATGATGTCACAACTTCGTGCTCTTCCCAGACTGGGGACTTCCACAACTCCCAAACACTACTCCTACCAGGCTCCGTCCTAAAGAATCCACATCCCACAGTGCACACCCGACAACAGTAAATGGAAATAAAATGCCTGTGCAATTTACATAATTCATGGGTTCTTTTTAAAACAGCATTCTAAATTATAGCAGTGCACTCTCATTTCTGTCCCAAGAGAAGACCGTGCCTTCTTTCCATGCCCTCTCCTCCTAGACGCTAGTGGTGGCAGGCCCTTCGTATTTCCCACAACCCATCCCCCAGGGCCCAGGCCTTGTGTGGGCTCCACCAGGCGCCCCTCATCCCATTCCCAGCCACTCAGGGCCAAGAAATCAGTGTGGAATGTGGCAGAGGGGCTGCACCCTTACCCACGGAGGTCACGTTCCCAAAGTATTTCAGTGTCCTCTGCTCAGGGTCCAGCCTCAACCACTCCCTTTCTGTGAGGTACTGCTGTTCCACACCGTCAAATGGCACTGGATCCTGAAAGAATTCCCAGGGATAATCAGTCCCTCCATTTATTCCAGAAAGAGGTAGGGGCAGCGCCAGGAGCACCAGGGACAAGAGGCAAGGGCCTGGCGTGGGTGTGAGTGGCTAACACAGAGCTCTAACCACAAGCCTCAAGAAGTCCTAGAAAGCAAACCCGACCAAGTGCCAGGAGACCTGGGCAGCAGCCCTGGCCTCCCACTGCCTTCCCAGGGGCCCTCAGCTCGATCACTTTCCTGGCCTGAAACTCCACTCCCCACCTGTATGATGGGGACAACAAGCCCAGCAGGCATCCGTTCCTTGGCAGACTCCAAAGAGAGCAAAGGGAGGGAGGGAGGGCAGCAGCGGGGGCTCAGGCCCTGCCACGTGTCATGCTGGGATCAGAGGCTGAGGCCAGAACCAGGGAGCAGTGACAGGATTCCAAGCAATGCAGAGGGAAGCTCACCTGGGCCTCCAGCATCTCAAGAGGGACTGCCAGGACCTGTTCTCCCGGGGCTCCATCCTGGGGAAGGGCAAGACCTTGGGGAGCAGGAGGCGCTAAGGAGAGTGAAAAGAGCCGTGAGTGACAGCAGCCCTGTTTCTGGGTTCCCTGGGATAAGTCTGGGGCTTTCCTTCTTCCTGTTTTTAAGTCTTGTTGAGTCTTCTCTCACGTGGTGGCCAAATGACCAGCCAGAGCATGGGTATGCCTAAGAAAACATATCCCAAACACTGGGAAAAGTGGACTGGCAGAGTTACTAAAGGCAGGTCAGAGGGAGACAAGACAAAGGCATGGGAGCCCATGCACAGCCGGGAAAAGACAGACGCAGACAGGAGAGCCATCAGGGTTGGGGGACTGGCTCTTGGGGACAGGTCAATCCCAGTCCTCTTCCTAGCTGCAAGCCTTGGACAGTTCAATGCTCACATTGCACAGGAAGGAAGCCACCCAAAACAAATATCAGAAAAGATAACTAGGAAATGAAAGCGTCTTCCCAACTCGGTAGAGCCAACAAGAAGCTGACCAGGCCAGGAGGGGAGAGCAGCAAGGAACGGCCAGAGCCATGGCTTCCTGGCCTAACCAGGCCACTGGAGGGGAGAGCAGCAACAAATGGCCACACGCCACCAAAGCACTTCGCCAGGGGAAAGAGAGAGATTTGCAGATAAGAACATTTCTCTTACATAGTTGACAAAATGAGAAGTTGAACAAAAATGATTCTTCTAAGTGCTTACAGCTGGGGAAATAAGCTTCAAAGAAAAGACTTTCAAAACTAAGTTCTTAAATAAAAGATCTGAACAATATGTACCCATTCCTTCCAAACTGCAAATCAAGTGAAATATTAGAAGATCCTAGCAGAGATGTGTGTGTACCATAGGTCTCCCGCTTCAGTAAGCTCAAAGGAACAGGAACATGGTGGTTACTTTCCCGAGGCCAGGTCACTTCGATTCAATTCATAATTAAATGAAAAGACAGCATTTTTACACCAATTCAAGGACTACAAAACCCAGATACTCCAGAATGACTTTTCCATTGGATTAAAGATGTTACATTAAAATAGATGGACAGAAACTTCCACTTCTGGCCATGGTGGAGTAACAAGGAACAGACTTAATGTCTTGCCATAAACAAGAAGAACGTGGAACAAAATGTATAAAGCCACAGTTTTCAGACATTGGATAGCAGGATCCCTGAGAAAAGGGACACAAATAAGGTAAGACCTGTAATCACCCCAGGTCTCTGCTTGGAGGCAGTTTCTAGATGCAGAGTGTCGGGAAGGGGAGCCCAAACACAGCTCGTGATTTCCCTGAGTTGAGGAGACCCAGATCAGCATTCAAGGAGGTTGACACAGCTGACCTCCAGAAAGCAGGGAACTACGCAGAAAAAAAGACTGCCATAAAATCCGCATCAGGTTCCCCTTTTCCTGACTATTAAATCATGCATGTATCGAGTGAAACCCCAAAAGGCTGGGAAAAGAACATCCAGGAAGCTGTAAGCTAAACAATTCCCAGGACACACAAAGGTCTGTGAAAAGTTCAAGGTCTGATCAACCAGAGTAGAGTGTTCTTGGTGATCACTTGGAGCATTCAGTAGAGAATCCAGAGGGGTCATGCCTTAGTAGTAGGGCTGATATTAACCCTGGTGCCAACGCTACATAAGACGTGCTAGAAAAGCTTAAAACTAGGCTTCAAAGGATCAAAAACCAAAACCAAAACCAAACCTGTTACCATAGAGTCGATTTCGACCCATAGCGAATCTATAGGACAGAGCAGAACTGTCCCATAGGGTTTCCAAGGAGTGGCTGGTGGATTTGAACTGCCGAATGACCTTGTGGTTAGCAGCCGTATCACTTAATCACTGCGCCACCAGGGTTCCTCAAAGGATCAAACTGATCCACAAATAACTACCTCCCCAAACAAAGTCCAACACGTTTCAAAGGGAGACAACAAAATTCAGACACTCAGCCACATAACATTTACAATGTCCAATCAAAAATTACTGAAATGCCAAGAAGCAGGAAAATGTGACTCACGGCAAGGAGAAAAATCTAGTCAATAGAAACAGACCCAGAAGTGACCAATGCTAGAACTAACGGACAAGGATAACAGCTAGTTTAATTATGTACAAGTATTTAAAGAAAAACAGGAAAATGAGAGAAATGGAAAGTAACAACCCCTACGAAGATTAAAACCACACACACAAAGACGCATCATAATCTGACTGCTGAAAACCAGTGATAAAAAGAAAATCTTAAAGCAGCCAGAGATAAAAAAGATATTAGATAGAGAGGAATAAAGGTAATAATTGCTAACTTTTTATCAGAAAATGTACAAGCCAGGAAACAACTGAATAACATTGCTAAAGTGCTAAAAGAAAAAAAGAAAAAATAAACCTGTCGACCTACAATTCTATAATCAGGAAAAATATCCTTAGAAAATGAAGGCAAAATAAAAACTTTTGCAGATGTACAAAAGCTGAGAGAACTTCTCACCAACAGACCTGCACCGTAAGAAATATTAAGGGAAGTTCTTTGGGTGGAAGGAAATACCAGATGGAAACTTGGAGCTACACAAACGAGTAAAGAAGACCAGAAATAGTAAATATATGGGGAAATATAAAATACATTTACCCCTTCATTTTTAAATATTTAAAAAATAATTGACTGTTAAGCAAACATCGTAACAAGGTAGTATGGGGTTTATAACATGGGGAAGTAAAACATATGGCCACAACAGCACAAAGAATGAGTAGCGGAATGGAAGTCTATTGCCATAAGGTTCTTATATTCAGGTTCCATCCCAGACCTGGAGACCCTGGTGGCGTAGTGGTTAAGAGCTTGGCTGCTAATCAAAAGGTTGGCAGTTCGAATCCACCAGCAGCTCCTTGGAAACCCTATGAGGCAGTTCTACTCTGTCCTATAGGGTCGCTATGAGTCGGAATCAACTCGACGGCAATGTGTTTTTTTTTTTTTTTTTAAATCTCAGACCTACTAAATCAGAAATTCTGTTGGTGGAGCCCAGCAATCTGTGTTTTAACTAACCCTCCAGGAGACTCCGATGTACACTAATACCCCAGTAGTGGAAATGAAATGCAATACTAAATAAATACTTAATCCAGAAGAAGAAAAGTAAAGAAAAATATGAACAAACAGAAACAAATAGCAACATGACAGACTTAAACCCAATCGTATATATAATTAACTAAATGTAAACGGACTAAATGTTCCAATTAAAAGGCATAGACTGCCAATTTTTATTAAAAAATACAGACTCAACTATATGCTGTCTAGAGGAAATTTTAAATATAAAGACTTTACATATAAAGACACAGGTTACAAGGAAAAGGATGGAATATGACATTCTATGAAAGGGACTGACAGGAAATAATCTCAATGCCATAAAAACAAGGGGTGAATGATGAATGTGGCTCAGGGCTCTGGACCAACACCACTGAAGAGTGTCAAAATTCAGAGCAGGGAGAAAATTGGGGGGCTTAAAGATAAAGCCAGCAGGTGGCCACTGGAGAATGACATATAGCAGATTATGAAAATGCAAATCCTTTATGGAAGATGTAGAAAGACATAGTCAACTCTGGTTTGAAAGTCCAAAGAGGGTAGGAGAAGGGGAGAAGGCAGCTAAGCATGTATTTCTATCTTAGCAGTAAAAAGAAAAACACTAAACAAAATAAGACTTGTAGCTAAAGGAAAAAAAAAAAAAAAAAAGATATACCCCACCCCAGTGGGTACCACACTGGGTTAGAATCAAAGTCCTTTTAGTAACCAAGATGAATTTCTTTAATAATCAGAAAAGAAAAAGAATTTAAAAAAGATTTTAGTAGACTCTGGATAAGAAAGATGCTCAGTATGACAGAGGACAAGGGTCGAGACCAAGGAGGAAATGGAGCTTGGCCCTGGGCCGTGCTGGTGGGTGAACCTTGGCTGGCAAGGGTCGGAAGACCAGCACTTCCTGAGATGCCCACGTGGGAAAGGCAAGTACTGAGTGATGATCAGAAAGATGGGATTGTGACTTCCTGGGCTCTTCCCCACAAACTGTCACACAGTCCACCTGAGCCTCCATTCCCATCTTTAACTGGCTGTCCCACACAGGTGCTTCCCCAGTGTGAGAGCTACTCCCCCGGCGCTCAGTAGCCAAGCCCTCTGTGTGCCCCGGGGCAGGGCCTCCCTTTGGCCAGCTGGATTCTTCCTGGTAGACATCTGATGTCTGGTTTGACTTTGATTTCCAGTAAAAAAGGAACTGGTCATGTATTATGTACATAATTCATTTTTTAAAATTCACTTCCAGCTGAACATTAATGTTTTGCTACCAAGTGGAATGGAGAGGAAAACATTACATACTGACCTTCAGAGAAATGTGGCATTTTATGAACCTCTTCTCACTGCCCTCAGGTCTTAACCTACCTACCAGGCCCAGCCCACCCATCTCATATCCCACCCCTGGAGCCTCGGTGCCACACTGGCCTTTAATCAGTCCTAGATATGCCAAGGCTATGAACTGCTGTGAATACCATCCGTACACGTTCAACTCCAATGCCATCTCCTCCAAACTGTCTCCATTTTCCAGCCACATCAGAGCGTCCGCGCAACACTTTCACTCCCTAAAAATTGTCCTGTGAAAATGCTTGTTTCTACTTGACTCTCCATGGGAGAAATGTCAGCCTCACCAGGACAGTGGCCTTTTCTTTCTTGGTCACCCTAAATCCCCACTGTCTGCAGCAGCTCCTGGCTCCAAGCTGGCACTTGATAAACTGTGGGTCGACTGCGTCCATGTGGGTGGGGAGGGGAGCATTAAATGGAGGGAGCTGACACTCATCGAGCCCCTACTACGAGCTTGGTGCTGTGCCTCTCCCTTCACATAATTTAATTACCACAACCTATGGGTATTGCCAACAAGCCCTGGTGGCACAGTGGTTAAGCACCTGGCTGTTGACCGAAAGGTTGGTGGTTCAAACCCACCAGCTGCTCCGCAGGGGAAAGATGGGGCAGTCTGCTTCCGTAAAGATTACAGCGTTGGAAACCCTACGGGGCAGTTCTACTCTGTCCTCTAGGGTTGCTATGAGTCAGAATTGACTCCATGGCAACAGGTTATAGTTATTACCACTTCCATTTCACAGACAGGAAACCAGGGATATGAGAGATTAAGTAACGTGCTTAAGGTCCAGCTCCCAAACTTGGAGACTGTTTAGACCACACCAGAGAAGAGACAAATAATATGCAGCTCCTTCATACCAGGGCATGTCTAGGGGAGAGGCGGACAGCGAGTGCGGCAGCCTGATGATACACACGGACGGCTGGGGGCTGCTTTTAAACCACCCTATGAACACGCCATCACAGGCCCTCACTGCCAATGGATATACACACCCTGCTCACATACAGTTCTTCCGTGCCAGCCAGTTTAATTGAGCAAATCCGACTCAAGTGTTTTTCCTTAGTTGGCATGATTAACTGTGGAAATCCAGGAGCCACAATCCCCAAGTGAGCTGTGAATTATTCTTTCTGGAGTGTGGACAGGAGCGGCCCTTCTTGGACCAGGGCTGCCCAGAGGACTTCGCCCATGAGCACCTGAGCTCTCTCTCGGTAGCGGTGTGGTCACCACCCACAGTAAGAGCCCATGGGCACAGAGAGGTCGTCATAAAAACAGGAGGATATGGTGAGCTCTGCTTTCAAAGGAGGCTAAACTCCACACGATACCCAGGGTATAGGTTAAAAGTGCTGTACAAGCAAAAGCAGATAATAAAAAAGACAGTACACACTAATCCCCAGTGCAGTTAAAAATGGAACACTCATTAACCCCAGACATGGTAAGCTTGTTTAGATTCCGTGTTTCACAACTGCTGTACTTTACAATGGGGGGACTGATCTGGAGAAGATGCCGGACAGCGGGACAAAAGGGACAAAACTTGTGTCCACTGCCTTCCAAGGTCAAAGCAATTCCAGGCAGAACATGAAAGTCAGCGGAGCGCACCCGATGGACAGAGGGTAGCGCTGTCCTTGAACGGGAGGCGCTTTCACCAGATGCGGAAAAGCATATGCACCGAGTCACAGAAGGGGCCGCCTCTGTACAACAAATAGTATGGCCAAAAAGAGCCTCGACTCCTCATCTTCGTGCAAAGAATATGTCACACTTAGCGTGAAGAATCCTCCTCCTTTAAATAAGCTCTGAAGTACGTTCAGACTATGAACAACCAGATAGCAAAGGCCTCTTCAGAATCGACTGTGGAGTCCACGCCGGCCTGAGCCCAGTGCCACGCAATGAGTACATGTCTATTGCTGGACTATAAGGAAAATAATCATGCAAATCTCAACGCACGGCCTGACAATTAGTGCTTTCTTATAAAAAGAGAGTTCATCTGAATGTCTTCCTAATATGTGCTTCAGATCACAATTTACATTTTGAGCCACTTATTTACATCAAATTTACTGTCTGAAATCAGAAACTCTGGCATTAAGACAACAAAAATAATCATTTCGATTTGATCTGAAAGAACAGAAATTAGGAGTTGAATTCAACCTAGATAAAAACCAACTCATGTCACACAAGTGTTGAATAATTAGGTGTCCTCCGGTTGCCTGAGCTCAGGACCCCCCTTAGGAGTGGTGGGCACTGAAGGTAACTTCTGAGTCTGAACGATCTGCACTTGACCGATGACATCCTACAAAGCCAACTAACCTCCTCGGCCAGTCCTTCCCTGGGCCGGGGGAGCGAGGCAACAAGGCCACCCAGACTAGACCCAGCTGGCAGCCTTCAGGAGCTGAGCTCCTGGGTTCAGAACAGACCACCAGGTAAGCAGAGGTGAGGAGAAAGCTCGGGGCCAGGTGAGGGTGTACAAAGTGGCAAGAGCAGATTCCAAGGGTGTCAGAAGCACCTGGACTCCCCTGACCATCTAAACAAGGGCCCGTAGCAGGATCTCCTCAGGCCCCAAAGCTTGAGTTTACTCAGAAGATAACAGGTGGCTTGTGGTGTACAGTTCGGTTCTGGGCCAGGGCACAAAGACCACGCAAGCTCTCTTTATGGGATACCGTTGACAAGAGACCTCGCTCTTCACCATCTAAATCAGATGGGTGTCTTCAGCCCTCTCCCCTACCCGATGATCACTTAGATTACCCGTTCTCCCGATCGGGTGTCTTCTCTCCCTCGTGTTGTGTCGCTTGCTTGAGGGAACCGTCTTTGGGCAAAGACAGTCCAGTAACACCATCGTAGACAAAAATGTAAGTGCTTGTACCCTACTCACGGGACCTTATAAGAGCCTGGCGGCCTAAAGACCAGCCGACATGATCTGTAAATACACAGACTTACCCAGAAGAGACACACAGGGATGACTCATGGTGTCACGGAGCGATTCCCAGCGATGACTTCGGCAGGTATAGCCTCACCTGTTGGATTGAAATAATTTGGGTGAACAGAAGCACATCTGCCAGCATCTTCCAGGAACATGTCTTTGTGTAGCGAGCGCTAAACCGGATGTGTGCGCAGGACACACAGGAGGCAAGGCTGAACACACGGTCGCGGTTCGCGATCCCCCACCCCCAGCTACAAGCACAGAACCGCTGGGCCAACTCCCCCACCCCCGGGGCTGGAGCTGGTTCTGGCCTTCGTGTTCCCTTGAACCTACGGGTGCAGGATGCGGAAGAAAAGGCCCCATTCGGGTCCAACACGTTCTATGTAAACATGCTGTTACTAGAAGTGGCAGAATCCCAAAGGGCTCAGAGAGAGGGGGCTGCACCAGGAAAGCCGGGTTCTCGCGGGATATTTGAGTCTGTGTGCCTTTTTCTGTGTGTGTGGGTGGGAATACATCTGTTCCTGTCTTTCCCACTTTCCTTCTCTCGCCTGGCCTGGGCACCTGCTTCTGTGTTTCAGTTTCCATTTTCTTTCCTTTCTATAAAAAGCCAGAAGGTAGACCAGAAGGGGATTTTGGAGTGTTTGTTGTACTTAACTGAGGAAAGGTTTACGTTCTCCTTTCTCAAGAAGGCATGTGGCATCTTAACTAAAAATCAAAATACAGTGTAAGTAGTGCTTCATTTAGGTTACAAGGCCCCGAATACAAAAGATTCTAAATGGGGCAGCAGCGGTGCTATGCAAATCCTGGGCCCTCAAGGAGCCCAGGTGGGTGAGGGCAAGGCCTGGATCAGTAGGTGAGAAACCAGGGCACCAGGTCTGGGGTGGGGCCAAGAAATCCGCATTTTCCAACAGGCACCCCAGAGGATTCCATATGGAGGGGGGCTCATTTCCAATGGGCCTGTCCAGAATCTGGGGACTCCCTCTCCCTAGTTCTCATCAGGCGGAGCCTGGCCCATGAGCCTCCTGAAATGGGAGCCCCTCTGAGGGCCAGGCTTATGGGAAAGGAATTCACACTCTAGCAGATCTTTCAAGGGGCCCCTCACCCATAGAAGGCGGGAAATCATTGCTCAACAGTATTCTAAATATAAACAGAGTAACTTTTTTGGGATGTCCTGTGCCAGGCACCGTGCAAGCCTCTACTTAACGGTCCAAGGGGGGGGGAATGAGAGGAGGTACCATTAGTATGGGGGTGGGGGTGGGGTTCCAGCAATCCTGTTTGAAATGATCTGGTAAAGGAAAATTCTAGAGATTGAGGTTGAAGAGGAAATGTTTCACTGACCAGAGAGTGGAGGAGGCCGTGGCTAGGCCAGGCCAAGGCTGGCTGGAGGGCGTCAGTTGGAACAGGGTGGGACCTCCGGGAAGAGGGCCAGAACGGCGGGGGGCGGAGGGGTTGCTGAAAGACCATCAGCTTTGGGCGGCAGGCGAGTAGGGGGGATGGAAAAAGACATGTAATTAATCACCCAAATATAGACCGGAGGCGGCGGTCAAGGAGCTGAAGGGGTGGGGGTGGGGGGGCGCTGGAGCTGGAAAGGGTGGCCCCCAGGAGAGCAACAGAAAAAGGCCTGTCCAGACAGAAGGTCTTGAGATCGGCTTCACCCAGCAGGGGCTGCCCCCCTCAACACAGCCCTCGGGCTCTAGGCCACCTCCCATCCTCCCCGCCAAGCTGAGGCTCGGTCCCTCCCCCAGACGCTCCCTGATCGCCCCTTCTTCCTCGGCCTCCAATGCGCTTGGGGTGTGGGGGGGGGGTCCCTTCCCTCCTCAGGCTGTGACTGGCTCCCGCCCCGCAGCATCCCCCAAAGAGCAGGGTAGGCCCCGGCACGTCCCCGACTCCCGCTCCTACCGCCGCCCCCCGCGGGAGGGCCTCGGTGCCTCGCCGCCCCCGCCGGCCG